GTGAACACATTTCGCAGAAGCTTTTAGCATCGGATTATCTGGACACTCACACCTAGTGTGAGTGTTGTGACTAAGTGAACTTGTGGCAGAAGACCAAGCTTTAAGGGATTGTGGACTTTGCAGATCCTGACGCACTATGTTGTGTGAGTAGTGTAAATTTTACAAACTAAACAAATTGTGTATTTCAATAGAGGAGGGCTTTTTGTTTTTTAAATGTAGCTCTTTTAGAAAACGATGAAAAGGATGAAGAGGATATGTCTCTGGATTCAGGGGATGAAATCTCACATATAGAAGTATTCAGCAGTTTTCATTCAGAAATATTGGCGAGAGAGACCAAAGGATCAAGTGGAACAGATCAAAAACAGAATATTCAAATTGAATTGCAGTCATGTCTTGACGTGCAAAAAAGTTTATTAGAAGATAAGACTTACCAAATTGATTGTGAAGAGAGAGCTCCTATTGATAGAGTATGCTCTGAAGGAGAGAACAGCAATTCAGCCGAACAAGATTCATATAGCAACGGTCAGGCTTATCAAAATCAATTAAAAATGTCCCATCAGTTTAGTCATTTTAATGTTCTCACTCATCAGACGTTTCTGGGGACACCATATGCCCTTTCATCAACTCAGTCTCAAGAAAATGAAAATTACTTTATATCTGCTTACAAAAACTTGGATATAGAGAAATCTCCATTAAGTTAAGGATGTGTCCAAAGATAAATTACAGTAAAACCCCCACCAACACCCCCCCCCCCAAAAAATAGGTTGTTGTGGACTTTTTCCAGTTTTTTAAAAGTGTGAATTGATGATTTGAAAACAAATTTCCTAACCTTTATGAAATGTTTTTTTCTTTCCCACTTAAAATCATGATGGCCTGTAACATTTGAAGCATCTGAAAATTGAAATAAATATATTTTTTGGACATACTGTAATCAAATTATCTCATGTTGGCACCTTTCAGTTTTACATTTGTTACTTGTACTTGGGCTTCAAATTGAAGTCTGTTTTATATGTAAAATTTGATGTTTATAAAAGAATGGTAAATAGTAATGACTTTCTTTAATGTCAGATGATAACTAATTTTGCTGAAATGTCAATTATTTATTTTGAGTAAAGCTTTTGTATAGTGTTTTTACACAGGTATAAGCCAGCAGTGTCAATATTTATAGATTTTGGCTCAGTACCTCAAGCTATACCTAACAGTGCAGTTGCACTTTAGGTAGTAAACCTGTGTCTATAATATCAAGTAGCGTTTTCTTAGGTTTAGCTGTGTAAAAATTTAGCTTCACTTAAATTTTAGTCAGTCTTTGAGATCCTTGATAAGTACTGTATTGTGTGATCCTATAGCCAATCAAATGAACGTTTATAATGGGCCTTCTGTTTTCAGTGGCAGTGAATAATTTGGAACAGATCTTTGAGGTGGAATTAATTAGAACTAGTTAGGCACTTTAGTGCTATACTAAATCTATATACAAAAACCTGTATGGTGGAGATAAGTTTCAAGCCCGTATGTAACTTAACATCTCTTGCTCACTGTTATTAATGCTAACGTCAATGCTGTGAAAACTGGGGCATCTCTACCTTTAATATAGTGAAAACAAGAAAAACCACAGGATTCTAAAATGAATTTGAGTTATTTTAGTAAGAGTCTAGCTCAGTGTGTTAATAGTACTTCTCACGCCCTAAAAGAACCTCTTACAGAACAAACAAGCAACAATGTTAACAGGTCAGGGATCTCCAGACTCTATTATGGTAAGTAGAAAGTACTTTTACACCCTAGTATAACAGAGATCATTTTTTTAAACTATAAACTGTTTTATTATATTTAAAAAATACAGCATTTCACTACATAATGAAGTTTTTCATTGGGTGCTTGAATAATGCAGTTGAGTGGTGAGCACATTTAAAATGAAGAACTAAAATTATCTTCTTGGTTTGCAGTTAAGGGTATGAGATTCGTTTCCAACTCCTTTTGTTTCTGGAGAAGACCCTGCAATCACATTGATAGTTTAGTGAAGGTGTATAGCCAACTTAAATACAAGATAGAGAAAAATTATTGAGCTCAGAATGGAATTGTTATTGGACATAGCTCAAGTTTCATCTTTTTTTTTAGTAATTCTTATAGTGGACCTCCTTGTTTAGGTGTTACCTATCTAGAGTATTTTCTACTATACAAACAGGGATGATTGCTTTAAAAAAAAAAATTACTGCAACTGTGGATTTCAAATGAAAGCCATTCTCAAGTGCTCTTAATATCATGAGAAGACACGAGGGTCGTCTGAAACAGTGTAAGGGTTAGGATGAAGTGTGAACGTCACACTCCTTTCTCTTGTTCCTTTGGGAGAGTTACCAAGGTTTAGTCACATGCTCAAACTGTATGTAAGCAGAGGTAGCACTTAAAGAATACAAGTAAATGGGTCTGAGTAGTTTTCTAGTTTTAGATAGAATAATAAAGGATAAGCAACACATGAGCGAAATTCTTCTCAAATACACTCAAATACAGTTTAATAGGCCCCTGCATAGGTTTCAGCACATTATAGGGTTGGGTTTTTTTTGCCTGTATAAAAGGTTATGCAAAAATCACAGGGATGGGGAAAAGTGGTGAATAGCTCCGTGTATATAATTTCATTCTTTGAACAGATCTATTCTGTTCTAAACTTTAAAAAAAAAGAATGGACCATATTGGTTAAAATTCACTAAAGCATAATTGTGTATTTGTTTCTTTGGTTTTGGCACTTTATTGTGTTTTGATGTTTAAATGTACATATTTTTAAATAAAAATTGTCATAATATCCAAACTGTCTCAGGACTTTCATTCTTAGGATGCAAACACTGCCACCATATAGAGAGAACAAGCATCTAAACATCTAAATAGTTACTTGGTGAAAAGCTCATACCTGTCTTAATTCTGAAAGCCCCTTAAGGATAGCTTGCTGTCGATCCCTGTTTTTCACCAATCTAGGATTAAGAAGTGGATCCTTGGTATGGTCAGAGTCAAATAGCTCTTGTTGTTGCTCACAATCTGAAGGATAGAGATAAAGATAAGGTTTAAAACAGTTAAGCAAATTACTAACAGCTGTAGTGTGTTAAATCTTTCATAGACTAACTAATGTTGAAGCATTTAGGGTTGGGAGTTTATTAAGTTATGTGTGTGCATGTGAGTACTGGTGCCTGTGGAAGCTGAAAGGCTTGAATCACCCTGGTGTTGGAATTGTTAGGTAGCACCATGCCATCTAATGTGGGTGCTAGGAACCAAACTTCTGAAAGAACAATATAGGCACTTTTTACCACTGAACTATCTCTAGCCCCTCATCTTCAAATGCTACTTAACTTACCATGAGATTTTTGGTATTGGTTGTCCTGGGTTGAAGGCCTAGACAAGGGTGCATCCGGATCAAGATAATAGATCTCATTTGTTCGAACGTAGGGAATGAAATGAGATGTCTCAGACAGCTCATCTGATAATTTAGTTTGACCATCTCCTAAGGTCAGATTCTCTTTTTCATAGTCACTGTTTTTTAGTGGTAAGTGTGATGAATTAGTCTGAGTTTGTTGAGTTCTACTCTTTACTGCTGGTGATGACTGAAACCTATCAAAAAACAAAAACCCAAACTTTAATAAGAAATTGCATGTTTTAGAACTAGTCATAGATGGCTGTGAGTCACTATGTGGGCGTTGAGAAATGAACCTAGATCCTCTGGAAGAGCAGCAAAACAGGCTGTGCTTTTAACTGCTGAGCCATCATCTCTTTGGCCCCTAGAAACTGCTTGTTTTCAATACATCTAACCACACTGCAGTTCATCTAAGATGTGTCTGGTCTACCTTAAGGAATACTAGATACAACAATCTAAGGTCTGTAATTTTTTTCATAAAATAGTACAATGGAGATACATGGCGGGGGTATTTAATTTAAATTGTTAGATTCTAAGAGTCTTGTTGGTTGATTTACTATGAAATTATACCTGTGTTATCTGAACTAAAGTTAGTGTTAAGCTCAAATTGTGAGACAAGTCTAAAACCAGTTTGGTTATGCACACAGATGAATAAAAAAATTTAAGCAGCCTAAACTTCCACCTAATGAAATGGATTTTTTTTTAAAATGCTGGTTTTAACCAATCTATTTCCCTATCCAATTTATCCAAACTAAATGCCTATTCCAGTGTTGATAGACATGGAAAAGTCAAACCTGCTTAGGTCCAGTCCAGCTAAAAACCACTCTATATTAAACATTTACCAAATCAATGAAAGCCAGCTACACCTCTTTCCTATCCTATCCTTTCCTATCCTGCCTTTATCTGCACATGGAATTGTCATCCAGATTTTGAATGGGTATTTTGTTTCCCACACAAAAAAGCACTAAGTAGCTAAGGAAGTAATATACATACCTTTCTTTAATAACTGAAGGAGTTTTCAGAGGTTCTTCTACCTAAAAGATGGATAACACAAGCAAACAGAGTGACATTTTCACGTCTCCAGATACTTCTAAAACACTGTATATGTGCATGCATGCATGTGTACAGTGTGTGCATGCAAATCAGAAGACAATTTTTACTTCTGTCCTAGTAACACGGGCCTCAGTCTCAGGTCCTCAGGCTCTTGTAGCAGGCACCTTGACCTGCTGAGCTTTCTCACCAACTTCTCGGACATGCTTAAATGAACTGGGCATACTTAAATAAGAGTACTGTATGTGATACAGTATAGGACCAGTCCAGTAATTCCTTTCTACATGGACAGTATATATGAGTTTTATTGTTTTAATAAAATCTCAGTATTCTAATTCACAAAAAGTTCATACAGCTACTTTGAGGAAGGCACTCTAAAACACTTCATCAGCCCAAAACTACATCTAAGTCAGGAGGACCATTCTGGAGCTTTGTTTAGGTTTCAGTGTTTGTTTGTTTTTTTTTTTTTTTTCTTTCTTGTGTTTTCTGAGAAGGGTCTCTAGATCTTCCTGTGTAGACCAGGCTGGCTTCAAACTCCCTAGCTGCCTCCAGAGTGCTGGAATTAAAGACATGCCCCATCACACCTGGCTCTGTTAAGGGTTATACTCACTACCATGATTTTATTCACTTGTCCACTACAAAAAAACAAAACAAAACTTTGTATCTTCACTCAGAATTCATGTATCCTGCCTACATTCCATCCTTTAATTACCTATTATTTCTTCGGACTCCTAAATTGTATACTATACTTTTATGTGTACTTACATGTTAAATTAATAAGCTTTTGTTTTGTTGTTTTTGAGATAGGGTTAATTTCATTTTTCTTTACAACTGAGTAGTATTTCATTTTATGTATGTGACATTTTCATATGCATTTGAATAAAGAAGCATTCGTCTGCATAAAGATTTGGCTTTTGGGGCTACAGTCTCTGATGCAGCTGTTCAGTTCAGGTGTTATACAATAGTCAGTTCACATAACAAGTATGGCTGTCTTCCTCTGACCGCTAACATAATTTTCTATAACCTACTTAGATGAACCACAGCCTTCTGAAAGCATGGATTTGGGCAACTACTTTGAATTCAGAAACATTACTACATAGTAATGAAATAAAAGAGTCTTACCTTTTTGATTAGATGCAACCTGATCTCTGACTCAGTTTCTCGATGAGATGAAGTAAGAACTTCTGGTGAAGTGCCTCTGTTTTGGGAGAGGTTCTCAGGGTGGTTTCTTTCTAGTAAGTGAAGCAGCTCTATCTGCCTTCTTATCTTTTTTTCTTCTTTCTCCTTCTGAAGATGGACAGGGTACTTTGCTGATGCAGGAACATACCTTTTGAGAGGCTTATTTATATTCCAAGCAGGCTTTTTGGGACATTTCTTCATAAGTTTTGTTTGTTTCTCTGTTCTTCTATACTGATTACACTGGCCATTATACCAGCTGTTTTCTTTGTCTAAATTAGTGCCTTTATCCATACTTAGTTCTTGCTTGTCTTTTTTAGTGCTAATCTGTCCATTAAATTCTGTAGAAATCTCTGGAGAAGAAAAGTTTCTAATGCCCTTTTCTGTTAATGATCCACAGTGTGGTAGTGCATCGCTGAAATTTCCTAAATTTAAGTCATCTAAATAAAAATTCCAAATGGTTAATTTTAAAAACATGGTAGAAATACACTTTTCCCAAAGATACTTAATGACTTTATTAGTTGGTGGGTCATGCACATGGGAGTCAAAGGACAACTTGTGGAAGTTGGTTCCTTCTGCCATGTGAATTCCAAGGGTGGAACTAGGGTTCTTGGCCTTGGTGGCATCACCTTTACCTGCTGTGCCATTCTTCCATCCCTAGGAATTCAATCCTCAAAATGAAGCTACCCATTAAAGAACTCCTTTTCAAAAAAAAGCTGGTAACACTATTCAGTTTGGATATTCTAGAAATGTCTATTCCAAATAGCCCATATAAACAGAGCTTTGTGCTACACACCTATCATCCCAACAATTAGAGGACTGGAACAAGTTCAGTGCCAGCTTGGTCTACAGAGTTTCAGGAAGCAAGTTCCAGGCCAGCCCAGACACCGTATAAAAAAATAAAAGAATTTAAATAGACTGGCTTATTCAAATAGTATAAAACTCTCAAGAGTTTATTGCTGTGGAATGTTCTGTATGGCAAATGTGTTGCTCAGATTGGTCAATAAATAAAACACTGATTGGCCCTTGGCTAGGCAGGAAGTATAGGCGGGACTAACAGAGAAAAGAAAGAACAGGAAGGCAGGAGTCACTGCCAGCTGCCGCCAGGACAAGCATCATGTGAAGATGCCGGTAAGCCACGAGCTACGTGGCAAGGTATATAGATTTATGGAAATGGATTAATTTAAGCTATAAGAACAGTTAGCACGAAGCCTGCCACGGCCATACAGTTTGTAAACAATATAAGTCTCTGTGTTTACTTGGTTGGGTCTGAGCGGCTGTGGGACTGGCAGGTGACAAAGATTTGTCCTGACTGTGGGCAAGGCAGGAAACCTCTTAGCTACAGTTTATAACCATGTAGTTATTAAACACGTCAGAATTTCCTTATGCTAATTCCACTGTATAAAATAGGCCTAATTTTGTTCGTCTACAGAGATACTTAGGTTGGAAGCAACCTAAGAAATGCTGCTGTGAATCCAAGTTTCTACAAATGTAAACCTAAAAATGGAATTCTATTCATTTTTTTGAGCAACTGCTATACTGTTTTCTACAGCAGGCGCGACATTCAACATTACCATTAACAAAGCAATTTTAAGAATGCATTGGAGTGGCACCACAAATATCACAATGCCCTATCACCATTTATCACCATCCCTTCAGATGAACTGTGGCTAGTCTGGTATACTGAACTAATAGAATATCTCAAGTAACAGGCAGAAAATAGTGATGTGTTTATGGCTGTTTCCTACAGGAAAGAAGGGGAGGCTCTTGAGCCCCCAGAGGGAAATAAAAGGACAAATATATGAGAGAAAAATCTTGAAGACTCTTGAGGGACTATATAAAGAGAACTATATAAAAAGAAACCCCTGCTGGAGGAGACTGCCCAGCCAAAGTGCAGAGGAGACAGTCCTGCTGTAGAGCTGTCTGCAAGCTGCAGAGCTCCAGGCTGCAGCTTTCAGGGATGGACACCAGTTTTGGGGTGGGCTCTTTGATGATGTAGCTGCTTTTGAATTATCTCTGATCTTCAACAATAACCCCTTAGCCATATTCCTGTTAATAATAAAAACTCAATGGTTCACCAATGGGACGTTGATACAGTTGATACTCTAATATCTTGGGCTTCCTCTCTGGGATAAGATACGTTTCATCTCTCCAGGAAAAGTCTGTCACAGTACAATGTTAGAGTGGCCTGGGCAATGTGATCTCTTGGCTTAATATTAGAATCTACTTTAGGATTCATCAGGAGCTATAAACAAATACTTCAGGAAGGCCCATTTATAACTAGTTTTAAATGGGAAAAGATAACTTATGGAACTGAGAAAATAAAACAAGTAGGGTTTCCCTGAAGAGTTAAAGATGTCTTCGGGTCTTGCCTCAAAAAGTCTCCAAACCTAGGGGCTGAAGAACTGGCTCAGCACTTACCAGTCCTGCCCTTAAAGTTTGGTTCCCAGCACCTATCCACCTATAACTCCAGCTCCAGGAAATTTGATGCCATCCACTCAATTACACAAGCCTGCCCACTCACCCTTATACATATATACACTAAATTGCAAATCCCTTTTTGTTCAGGAGTGTCCATTGTGGATATTGTGTTATTTAAAATTTAAGACTAGCACATGAAAATACATGCAATATCAGTCACTGGGGTAATGCAGATCAGAATCTAAGTGTTGCAAGGACACGGAGAGATAAGAACACCTCTACACTGCTGTTAAAACAGGTGCTTTGGATGACAGTTCAGCAGCTCCCCAAAATACTTAATACACCTATCATATAATTCACAAATTCTAACCCCTCTTTACTAAGAGAACAGAAAACATTTACACAAAATTTTTTTAACTAGTCACAGTGACACTGTTTATAATAATAGTCCTAAGTAGAAATAATCGAAATGTTCATAGAACAAAATCCAGTATAATTCCCACAGTGGAGTCTAAGGAATAAATGGAATTGTGTCATAATAAGATCTACAATAGGGATAAACCCATATATCATGCTGAAGTCAGTAAGCCAGGCACAAAAGACCATTTACAGCATAATTCTGGTTCCATGAGAAGTATGGACACAATGAGCTGGAGAGTGGAAGAGTCCCTATTTGTGAGTTACTCATTGAGTCCTGTGCCCAATACCAATGCACATACACTAAAACTGGAGTGAGATTAGCATGGCCCCTGTGTAAGGATGACATGCAAATTGGTGATGTATTTGTATTTTTAAAAAGCATCTTTCACCAGGCGGTTGGCGCACGCCTTTAATCCCAGCACTCCGGAGGCACAGCCAGGAGGATCTCGGTGAGTTTGAGGCCAGCCTGGGCTACAGAGTGAGTTCCAGGACAGGCTCCAAAGCTACACAGAGAAACCCTGTCTCGAAAAACAAAAAACAAAACAAAACAAAACAAAAAAAGCATCTTTCATAGAAAATCAATTTGAATACTGAAAAGGTTCTAAAATTGTGATGGTAACTGCACAAGTATGAGTATGTTAAAGAACACCAAACAGAGCTGGGCACGGTGTGCAATGCCTTTTTTGTTTGTTTTTGTTTTTCGAGACAGGGTTTCTCGGCGTAGTTTTGGTGCCTGTCCTGGATGTCGCTTTGTAGACCAGGGTGGCCTCGAACTTGCAGAGATCCACCTGGTTCTGCGTCCTGAGTGCTGGGATTAAAGGTGTGGGCCACCTCCGCCTGGCTGCATGCCTTTAATAGTAGAACTTGGGAGGGAGAGGCAGCAAGATTTCTGAGAATTCCAGACCAGCAACAAATAGTGCCCCTTATATGGGTAAGATTTGGGCTAGATATTTAGCTAACTGGTCGAGTGCTTGCCTAGAAAGTATAAGGCCCTTATTCTCTGAACTACAAAGAAAAGAGGGGGGAAGGACTCAATATGTTATGTGAATTAGAGTTCACAATCATCCAAGCCTAAAAAATCAAAAGACCCCTTTATTTTGTTAAAAACTCAAATTTCTAGGTGGAACTGTAGCTCAGTTTGGTAAAGCGCATGCCTAGCATGCACTATGTCCTGGACTCAGTCCCCAGTGTCACATGAAAGGGCACAGTGCTACATCCCTGTAATGCCAGTGTTCCACAGGTGGGATTATTTCTAGGTCACCCTTGGCTCCAAGAGACGCTATTGCAAAGACAACAGCCCCTGTGATGTCTTCACTTTAGACAAACAGAACAAGAAACACTTGACATGAATACCTGTCTGCACTCCGGTGTCCTTCTTGGGAGAGGCTGTGGAAGTTTCATCAGCAGCCTCCTTAGCATCACTTCTTGAACTGGAAACGTTAGTGGAAGCCTTATAATCCACTTGTGCTGTGTGTCAGATAGCAATGAGAAACAGACATGGAAAGTCTTAAATGATGAGGAAGAGTACAAACAAACTCCATGTGGGGGCTAGGGACACAGCTGGGTGGCTGTGTTTGCCTACCACACAAGGCCCTGGGTTTGAGCCCTTGCACTAAAAGACTAAGGTACTGCAGCAGTTAAAGACTTTTTGACTTGGCCGGGCGGTGGTGGC